GTAATACCAATTCGCCCTTACGGATTCCACAAAATGCTATGTCGATTCATAGCTGCGTAACCGGGAAGTCCTGACGCCGGAAGACCGACCGCTGTCATCTGCATGGCAGGTGCCTGCGTGGCAGTGGAGGATGCGTCGGGCTATATCGCATTTAGCTAATAATTCACGATAGTTAGATACCGTCCTCCATGACGCAGTTGCATAAGCTGCGGGCTAGTTGGCAAGAGCCACTAGCAGTCGTGGGTTCGATCCTCCGCAAAGGACCGAAGGATGCGCACCACTGATGAGCTCCAATAGGGCGAAACGGCCGTCTGATGCTTTTCCGGACAGCTAGTCGACATATCTGAACTGTCGGCTGATTGCGACGTACAAAACATGCAATATGTTGAGCATGCCCAAATTGTGTGCTTCGCTCTGTCAAGAATTAAACATTTATTTTTTTAGTATTTCATGGGACGAAACTGGCATATTGTATATATTTTACGTTCCATGTGGCTTTTCGGTTCGCTCCCCATTGGATTGACCCACCAGGTCCTCCGCAACTCAGGACGTCCAAGAGAGACATAGTATTGTTTTCGTGCGCTATGCAAAAATGGGACAAAATTTGTCTTGTTCAGCAGTGACCCTCAGTCACAAAGTAGTAAGTATATGCGTACCGCTAGCATTAGGGTAAACCGCCAATGACTCTTGAACACGTCTGCTTGCAGAGGCACAAATGCTGAGCGCATCGCTATGCCTTCCGTTTGTCTCGATTTTACCCCACTAAACTAAAATTGTATGCTACCAGTACAAGTGATGAGTAGTTGTTTCAATCGACTGTACGACATGCCGACATTAAACTAATATGTATGACTGAATTCACATAGATACCCTGTTGCCTCTTATAAAGGACAATTGGTTAATCGCGATAACCTATCCAACGGAAGTATCTTTCTTCCGCTTAACTCTTGATGCTTCGTACATATATAAGTAACTTTGTGTCATAAAAGCTTATCCGGAATTCACTTTTCTCACCTGATCTAATCGTTTGACTAACAACTTAGCTGTTTCGTGGTACGGTGAGTCGCAAATGATATAATGGATCCAAGTGAAATTAAATATTTAGATATTTTTAAATATCGTAACGTTTCGGAGTCATTATTTTAATGGAGAAAACGTGCTTCTAATTGACCGTTATTTTTGTTTTGAAAGTCACAGAAGCTTCATAATTGTCGTTTTAGCTGCTGTTCTCCATCTTGTTAGATCTTCCAGTTTACTCGCTACACCGAATTAGGCACCCAAAATTCTCTTCAAGACCTAGCCCAGCCGACGAAAAATCAGAAGTCCAACGACCTTGTCCGAAAAGACGTGTTAACCAAAACAACTCCAAAACGCAGTACAACTGCCTTACACCTTCGTCAACTTTATATGTCTCCTTTATCGCCCTAGACTTCTAGAAAACGAAGGTACTTTAACAAAACTAGTAGCTTCATTACCAAAGCACCGTATGTTGGTGGTCACATGCAAGAATGATGCTACCAGAATCATCAGACTCAACCCACTATCAACGTACAATCAAAGTTGCAGAAATAATGGGATTTCCTTGATGTTTTTACCTAATCCAGGTTATCTCTTCTCCTACGACGGTTGCTGCGGTGTATGATGATAGGCAGGGGTTGCCTTAAATCCGCATGGACGGTGTTTTTTACCCCTCGGTCTATCAAGTTGGCTGAAGCTTCCTGGATCCGGGTTCCGTGCTGGCTACTCTAGTGTAATTCTTCTGCTGTCGGGGTTCTGCAACGGTTTAGTTAGGCCAATTGTAGCTGTCCTGCAACAGATCAAATGTATGCTCGGCAGATTCTGTTGCTTATGGCTGGGAGAGTGTGGGTCGCAGCTGAGTTGTTTGGCGCGCCCATATCTGCGTACCAACCTGGACTTCGTAAATGACGTACTTGTTCTTGCCCTTGATGTTGCTTGGTGTCCATTCTGCGCGTCCTTCCCGGTAATCACGTACAAGTACCCACTGACCCAGTTTAGGCAACCTTTGCTTGGTGTCATACGGCCGACTGAAATCACTTTCACGCTTAAGGTTCATTTTAATAGCTGGGGCTCTGGGGACGGCCGCACTGCATCCAAATGCATGCGAAGCTTTCTCTTTATCATTACCACTGCTGGTGTTACTCCATCCGGCGTAATTGGATGTTGCGTAGTTTGGTACAAATGAAGGAAACGGTCAATCCACCCTCCACATATCTCCTTGAGTTGAGGAGAGCGCTTTTGAATGTATTCACAACTCTCTTTGCTTGGCCGTTGGTTTATGGCTGGAGTGATAAGAGCCGCCCTTGTTTGAGGGCGCAGCGCTTGCAACACACCGTGAATGTGGCAGAAGTAAACTGTGCGCAGTTGTCCGTCGCCAATGTTTAGGTGTAGCGAACCTGCTAAATATTTGTCGCAACCAAGCGGTCGTGGCACTGGTTTTCGTGCTACCCCTGCCGAGAACTTCGGGCCAATTTCTGTAAGCGTTGACTATGATGAGAATGTTCTGACCGTTGCTTTGGTCTGCGAATTCGACATGAACACGGCTCCAATAGTTCGTTGGTTTGGGCTAAGAGTGAAGTTCATTCTCCCGTGGTGCCCTTGAAGCGGTAGTACCTTTGCTGCAAATTGTAGCTAGCTGCTCCAGATATCTGTTTACAAACGGCAGGTGCATATAATTTCGGGCAAGCGTTTTCATTCTGTTGAGACCTGAAAGTCCTGTATGGGACTCTCTTAACGCTTTTTCTTGTGATATCAAGGGGATGAATACCTTCTCCGAAAACATGAGGCAATCGTTCACAATGTAGATCAAATGTCGTGGCTTATAGAACTGCCGAATTTCGGTAGAGGAGTATGAACCTGGTCACCTGGTTCTGGGAAAATATTTAACATGCTTTAGCATTGGATCTCAAAACGTTTCGGTCGTGCACCTCCTGCCGTAACTTTCAACACATGTAATGCTTCGCTCACCATGAAGTTTACAGCAGGTTTGACCTCAACTAAAGATATGAGGTTGTCCTCGATTTCTTGCTGTTGAGTATCATTGAGGGATGGCAACGCACCTGCTTGGCCCCTATGAACCGTACACTGATAAGTGTTAGCCTAGTAAGTTTCGGGCCTATCATTGGAGTTGATTAGTTGTGTAGGCAGGAATACCCTTTCGACCCGAAAATGGCCAGTAGCGGGCTTGTACCTCGTCAAGTGCTTGAAGCGACGACCACACAGCACCTTGGGAACTTTCTTCACAGCAACCACTATGATCAGTGCTTCTTTCTCTAGCTGGCTCTAGTTTATTTCGGATTTCGTCAGTATCCCGGCAGCATGTGCGATCGTCTTCTGAAATCAATCTGGGAATGGATGAGAAACTACAGCAGCGATCCCTATACTAGATACGTCTGTGGCGAGGATAATTTCTCTGGACGGGTCAAACTGGGTCAGACTTAGGTTTGAAACCAGCAAGGGCTTGTACTGCGTGAACGCACTCTGGTATTCTGACGTCGAGCCCAAGGTTTGGCCGTTGCTCTACAACAGGCAACGCAGTCCGAAGCGAAAAGCGCTGTACTGACTAACTAAGCCACAGAAGGTGCGCAGCGACTGCAGGCCTGCAAATGGTGGCAACGTTTGTATAGCTCGGATATTTACTGGATCATTGTGTCGACCCTGACGACGAAAACGAAGCCGATGAAGTTGATGGTTGGGGTAAAATACGTAATCTTGTTTTCACTGATGCGCTAACCATATGACTGGATGCGTCCAAGCCCTTCAGCAAACTGCTCAAATAGTTCTTCTGCTGTCGGGTCCATTATAATGAGATCACCCAGACAGGTGGTGGCCCCAGGAACACCGACGAGCATGGTATCCACCAGTTGTTGGAAGATGGCTGGTGCGGTTTTCACGCAAAAATATTGGCGTTGTACTGGTATAATCAGCAATTGCCGTTGATGGTCAGTAATTTTCACGAGTCTTCCGCAACATCGATTTAGAGGTGGGCATCGGACAAGTCCAGCTTCGCGAAATACTTACCACCATTCAGCCTGTCAATGAGGTCCTCCGGTATCGGAAGATGGTAAGGACGGACATCCAGTGTGGCGTTCAGACCAGTCGAAAAATCGGCGCAGACACGCACATTACCGTTTCACTTTCTCCCAGTGACGAGCGGTGCAGTCTATGCAGTGTTGTTCACTGGTGCGGTAACACCAGCGTGGTTCCGTCAGTCGAGCCGCTGATCAAGTGCTACGATGTATGCATACGGTACCGGTCTTTTTGCCCTGGATACTGCGTTGGTTTTGTAGCGGTTGTACATATCTCTCTTCCCAATTGTACTTTCCTATTCTCATTCCCATTATTATTATTGTATCGTTTTGTTTTAATTAACCAACGACAAAAAGGAGACTTTGTCGGGTTTCCATTCGCCTTCTGGTTTCGGCTACGCGTGTTGTGCTGTTGATCGTCGTAGGTCCGCTAGCCTTGCCTTGGTTGTTGCGTATCCGAACGAAGATACTTGCGCATCTCTTTGCATTCACCGCTCCCAGATAAATCACTATGAACAGACCAGAGGGTAAGAACAAGCCAAAGGGGGCCATGTCTGCTTACGCCTTTTTCGTTCAGGTTATCCGTGATGAACACAGGAAGAAACATCCCGGTGAACAGATCGTTTTCAGCGATTTCTCCAAAAAGCGTGCCGAACGTTGAAAGTTCATGACGGCAAAGGAAAAAAGCGTTACGAAGACTTGGCTGCTCTTGATAAGGAAAGATACAACCGCGAGATGCGCGAAGACTTTCCACCCGAGGGAATGAAAAAAGGAAAAAGGCGTAACGTCCCCAGAGATCCCACTGTTCCCAGGCGAGCTTGATCGGTGTTTTTCTTCTTCTGTGACGAGCACCGTGTCAAGGTGAAGGAACAAAATCCAGAATACAAGATAGCAGATGCTGCAAATGAGCTGGGGAGACAGTGGGAATCTTGCCATGATAAGGCAAAGTACGAAATGCTGGCACAACAAGCTAAACAGTGGTACGAGGAGGACATGGTAAAGTATCGCGCGGCTGTCTATGTTCCCGTTCAAAAGAAACCCGCTGGAGCGTTGTCCAACCCGGCAACCGTTGATCTGACGGAAACATTCGGTCTCGACGCTAACTCCGTTTCCTGTGCCGGAGGCGGCGAAAATGAAGCCGAGTTAGAGGACGAAGATGATGATGAACCCGACGAAGGGGAGGATGAATAAAATCTTTGTTGTGCACTGTGCCGTGTGGATCTAGTGTCAGTTGTGCAGTTCACACGCAATTAACTGCTTTCCCTGGTGGCCTTGTATACATTGTTATCCTCGTTATTTTTGTATTATGTTTCCTGAACTTCTGTTTGTGAATCTCGTTTTTATCCGCCGGACGCTGGCCCTGTTCATTTTTCTGTGAGATTATGTCTCCCTATCTCTACTGTCACTCCCTGTGACTGGTTCCCCCTTTATCGACGTGTCGCCGGTTTTATCCCGCTCTATTCACCCGCACATCTTGCTGAAGTCGATGTTCTGTTTTGACAGATAAATAGATCGTTGATCCAAAAAACGACTGTTTCGACTTTCGACCAGATTGTGCGACTAACTGACGGCCTACAGAGAATCGTGCTTAACCTAAGGTCAGGTCCAGCATTCTTAATTACAAACTGAGTGTTCTGTATGTAGTTAAGCCCGTTCCGTTTGGCCTTTCCACTACATATTTGGTGACCCCGTTCGCATATTTTGTAAACTGAGAACTCCCATTTTGTGCCTTTACTATGTCGGACCACGGTTCCCGCACTTACATTCCAGAAAATTTTCTTGGTTTCTCCTTCCCCACCTTCGATTCATCTAATCCTCGCGTGTGAGTTTTACAATTGGAAGCTGTTTTTCGCACACGCCGTATTACTTCTAAGTCATTAATATGCGCACATGTCAATGCCCAGCTTCCCACCCACCTCGCAACTGACCTTATAGAGTTGCTCGATCCGATTTTGGCTGACGCACCTTACGATAAGCTCAAAGCCGCCGTATTAAAGCGCACCACGGCCTCCTACGAAGCTAGACTTCGATAATTACTTTCCGGTGTTGAACTAGATGATCGCAAACCGTCACTACTCCTCAGGCACATGCGTACGTTGGTCAGTTCCCCTAAGATCGATGACACAATTCTGCGACAGCTCTGGACGACATGTCTTCCAGCGAACACCTCAGCTCTTCTCGCCGTGTTCGCAAATGATTTGTCTTTGGACAAGCTGGCCGAAACAGCAGATAAAGTTCATGAGTGCTTTCATAAACACGCATCATGTCACTCACTTGAGTCAACCGCTAACGCCGATCTTATGACTGACCGATTGAAGCCATCTCCGAGAGGTTATAAAAGCTGGAGCTCGCTATCTCGAGCATTACTCGCTACAGTGGTGGTAGCTCTAGACTCCGCTCTCGAAGTAGACGTAGTCCCGCCAGGAGTTCGAAAAGTCCTTTATGTTGATACCATCACCGTTTTGGCGATGATGCTAGGAATTGTCGACCTGGTTGTAACAGCCCGAAGGAATTCCACAAACCGCAGCAGGGAAATCTTCACGCCAGCTAGTAATCGTGACGGCTGCGTCTGGCCAATCTTATAGCCGCCTAATTTACGTCTACGATTCCTTAACCAATTTGTACTTCTTGGTTGACCCCGGTGCCGAGGTCAGCGCCATTCCTCGTGCTGCAGAAAAACGCAACCTACTTCCAACCGGACTGACATTGCAGGTGGCGAACGATACCAAGATCCATACATACGGCCAGAAAATGTTGACCCTCTACCTTGATTTTCGCCAAAGTTTTCTCTTTGTTTTTCTCATCGCTGACGTCCAACGCCCCATCCTTGGTGTTGATTTCCTTACTAAGTTCGATCTGATCGTGGACCTGCGTATCCGTGAACTATGCGATAGTTTGACATCCTTGTCCGTTTCGGGTAAAGTCACTTCGATCATTTCGGTCGGCCTTCGCTTGGCATTGCCCGCCGACAATATGTTCACCAAACTATTGCTTCAGTTTCCTGCTCTTTATCAATCGCCTACTGGCTTTCCTGAGCCCAAGCACGAAGTTATGCACTACTTCTTAACACAGGGGCCACCAGTAACCGCCCGACGTCGACGAGTACCTCCAGACAGGCTCTCTACTGCCAAGGCAGAGTTCGAACATATGCTTCGTCACGGTATCGTTCGTCCTTCCCATAGCCCATAGTCCTCCTCGCTTCATATGGTTCCCAAAACCTCCAGTGGCGACTGCAGACCTTGCGGAGATTACCGGGCACAAACAATTTCACTGTCCCCGATAGATATCCGATTCCGCACATCCATGATTTTTCAAGTGGTTTACATGGAAGAACAATTTTCTCTAAGAGTGAATTGGTGCGTGCATACTACCAAATTTCGGTTGCTCCCGACGATATTCCGAAGACCGCTGTAACCACGCTATTTGGTCTTTACGAATTCGTTCGCATGCCATTTGGTCTACGGACTGTCGCACAGACTTTCCAAAGGTTTATCGATCAAGTCCTTAGAGAGCTCGACTTTGTCTACGCCTACATTGACGATATTCTTGTGGCCAGTTCCAATCATGATGAGCATCAGTCACACCTCCAATCGATCTTCGAACGCTTTGCTCAGTACAGCGTTACGATCAACGTTGCCAATGTGTTTTTGGCCAAAGTTCTGTTGGTTTTTTGGGCCACCGAATTGATTGCAATGGCGTTAGTCCACTCCCCGAGCAAGCACAAGCGATTGCAGATTACCCTATGCCTCAGGCTTTCAAAAGTCACCGTCGTTTTCTCCGCATGGTGAATTACTACAGCTGTTTCATACCGAATTGCACTGGGTTACTCCAGCCATCGACCGATTTACTTAAAGACACGTCACGAAAATTCGAGCCCACGCAGGAAGCCATCGATGCCTTCGACAAGATCAAACACGCATTGTCCAACGCTACCGCGCTTAGTCATTTAAGGACTGATGTTGACGCCATTCTTCTCCTCAAGACTGATGCATCTCAGACCGCCGTTGGGGCTGGTCTCCAGCAGGTAATCAACGATCAACCTGAGCCGCTGTCCTTTTCTCTCGCAAACTTCAGCCAGCACAGAAGCGCTACAGCACCTTTGGTCGAGAACTTTTAGTTACCTACCTCGCTATCAAACATTTTTGGCACCTGCTTGAAGGTCGCACGTTTGTCATTCTTACAGACAATACACCACTTGCCTTTGCTTTCCGTCGTTTATCCGACCGTTTATCCTACAGAGAAATTCGTCATTTGGATTATATTTCACATTTTTCTACCGATATTCGTCATGTTGATCCTGCCAATAACGTTGTTGCCGTTGCCAAGTCGCGTATATATCTTCGCGAAGTTTCACGGCAGAAGATTAACTTAGAAGACATAGCAGCTCATCAGGAAGGAGATCCTGAGTTTGTGCAACTGAGATCAAATCCGTCGATCAAAATATCACAGTTGCGGATCCTTAAGTCAGCCTGCAAAATTTACAGGGCTATTTCTACTGGCAAGTCCCGACCTTTTGTCTTTTAGCAGTTACGCCGGATCGGCTTTGACCACCTGCATGGAATCTAACACCCGAGCATCCGAGCCATCGTCAAGCTAATTACCGATCGCTTCATTTGGCACAACATGCGCTCCGAGATCCAGCAGTTGGCCAAACACTGTATCACTTGCCAAACCAGCAAGATCCACCGTCACACGATTACCGTCCCCGGCACGTTTGCTCTTCCCGACGCACGTTTCAAACATGTTCATCTTGACATCGTTGGACCCTTGCCTCCATTCAAAGATTTTGTCTACTTATTGATATGCGTTTATCGTTATACGCGTTGGCCACTTGCCGTGCCTTTACGTGATGCTTCTACAGAAACGGTGGCGTGAACATTCGTTGAGAATTGGATTTTCGTCTTTGACACGCCAGCCACCATTACTACCGATAGAGGGCCGCAATTCAATTCGGCCTTGTTTCGTGACCTGAACCGCTTCCTCGATTGTTCCCACCTACGGAAAACCGCCTATCACCCAACTGCTAATGGCATCCTTGAACGTTTCCATCGCCAACTTAAAGCCGCGATTACCGCTTCACAGTTGAAATCACGATGGTCAGAACGTCTACCGATTATCTTGCTTGGTATTCGTAACTCCATTAAAGAAGACATTGGCTGTTTTCCCGCTGAGTTGGTCTATGGCACTACTCTCAGACTTCCTGGAGAAATGGTGCTAGACTCAAGGGTTACTGGAGAATTTTATCCGACCTCGTACGTCACACGCCTGAGGCGCCACTGCAGTTCAATTCGTCCAACACAACCTGGAATCAGTTCTCGGAGTCAAAAGGTACACCCGGATTTGCGCACTTGCCCCTTCGTTCTCTTGCGCGTCGATTCAGTCCGTAAACCTCTGACATCGCCTTAGGATGGCCCTTTAAGGTTGTTGCTCGGGAAGAGAAGTACTTCGTGCCGGATAGAAATGGTTATCAGGGTACTGTGACGATTGACCGTTTGAAGCCGGCGTACATCGAGACGCGACCACTACCGAGACCCACAGACATTCCTGTCACCGACCAGCCCACCTTCCCAAGTACGCCTCCTACTCATCCCATGTGTGACACATCTGTTCCCTCTTCTGCACCCCAAGCATCCCACGACACAAACTCGCAATCGCTTCATCGAACACGCTTCGGACGTACATTTGTTCTCCCTTCCAGACTACGGTAAACGACACACAAGTATCGAGCTTACGTCTCAGTGACTCACGCTCTAGTGGGGTGTTCTGTAGCGGTTGTACATATCTCTCTTCCCAATTGTACTTTCCTATTCTCAGTTTTTTATCATTGTACAGTTTTGTTTTAACTAACCAACGGCGAAAAGGAGACTGGTTTGGGTTTCCATTCGCCTTCTGGTTTCGGCTATGCGTCTTGTGCTGTTGATCGTCGTAGGTCTGCTAGCTTCGTCCATCGATCATCGGGTCCAGTGCGTCGATTTAGTGTGCCGACTGTTTCTCCTTCCGACCACATTGTGCGACTAACTGACGGCCTACCGAGAATCGTGCTTTATCTAAGGTCAGGTCCAGCATACTTAATTATAGACTGAGAATTCTTTTATGTAGTTACGTACTTTCCGTTTGGCCTTTCCACACAGTTCTCTCGTGAATGTACCAATTTGGTTAGTGCAGTGACCGAGACCACCTTCATTTAAGGA